ATCTACTTTTTAATTATTCATCCCTACGACTAACTTTTTCAGAGCTTGATTTCCCTATGTTTAGTTGACCAGAGTTCAATGGCGTCCCTTCGTTGCTTTATTTTGAAGAGTAGTTAAAGGAAAAATTTTATGGAAGCCTCATTTTACTGAGCTCTATACCGTATATTTATTAAGGGCTGACAGCTGAGTCGAGTTCTAGGATTTTGTGCAGCTCTCAATCCTCAATTCGTCGGCTTGAAATCCATCAGTCCTTGAACGATTTAAATCAAATTATTTGTGCGGGAGAGGCTCAAAATGAAGCATGCTTTTTAAACTATTTTTCGAGAATCAGTCTGCCCGCAGTTTACTGGACTCAGTAAAGTTTGCGATTTTACCGGGTCGATTATCTTAAACGCGAAGCTTCAAAGTGTGTGTTTTTTCTGAACCGGACAATAATACCCTTAAATTACCAATACTGCTAATAAACTGCAAAAAATTTTGATCGGTCATAATCCCAATTTTAGCTGCTTGGTGCTGCTGTTATTGGATTAGTTCTTGCTCCGCTTCGTGATATGTCTTTCTACGCTTTTGTCAAAATGACTCAAACTGAGTGGCAAGGCTTGGTACTCGGAATCGCCACCACCTTCTCATCCTTGTGCCTTATCATCCTGCTTAGCTCTTGCATTGGTCATCGATATCCATTGTGGCGGAGAATTGTAAGTTTTCTCACTTCACCATTTTTCGGACCACACGAAGAACCAAGTGCTGGTAAAATTTCTATAGTCGTACGTTGCCTATTTTTCGACTCAGTGAAATCAATTTCCCCAGAATTTCGATGGCAACTTGTTACTGGTGCATCTAGAGAGTCAAAGAGTTTCTTCAATTTGTTCAACCAGTAATTTTCAAGAGAATTCTTTGGTTCCATTTAAATCGTTTCGGAAGAGCTAGGTCACTTGGTGGTGGCTGATGGCAAATCATTATTATTCAAAATATTCCCGTATGCCATCGCTTCTTAAACAAAGTAAACTGTGGAAAGGGATTTAGCATTTATTTCGAATTTCGTGGCTCTTGCAAAAATACGTTCCAGGATTATCTGATCAGTTTAGTTGGTTCGGTTGGTTATTTGGTAGCCGGTGCTGTTGAGGCCTACTACGCTGCGTGCTATCCGCCTTACGGTGAAAAAATCGGGAAAGTATGCTATAGGTTAGAATGGATTATTGCAAGCGTAAGTTCTCTCGCTTCCTTCAAACTGAAGTTTATGAAAAATCGCATGTCTCAATAGACGGAACGCAGTGTGACGCAAATGTGCATAAGCATGATAAATTTTTAACTTCTTCTGTTTCAGTATAACAAGAGTTGGGGGAAAAGAGGTGTGAGAGAGAAGGAAGAGAAGCAGGGGCATATCCCCTCTTATCCGGGTTTAGAGGGCAAAGTGTTAACTGTCTAAAAGATACGAATTACTTTTATCAGAAGTGACAAGATGTGGCACGCCATAATCGGTAGTTCATATGTTCATCAGATGATGTAGCATTGGTCAAAATAGCCGAAATAACTTTTGGCCAACGCTGAATCTCCTAGTGGTCAGCTTGCTGGCGATCTGGCATTCGTTTCAGTATAGCTAATAGAAAATGTAAACATTGAGAGTGGGAATGAAGGACCAGAATGTGAACCGATGACTGATTCAGGAATTCTGCGCATTACATTTTGATAAACTTTTTTTACTAAAGGAGAGTTAACTGAATAGAAAAACGCTTTTTCAATGGTTTTCCAGAAAAAATCCTTAGAAAATATTTGTTTCTGTTCTTGCTCCAGTGGCAACAAATGTGTCATTTTTGACTGCGTTTGCTATAAACGAATTTGTTGCAGGTATTAATATTTATCAGTGTGATTGTTTATGTCGTGGACTGTGTGTTATCATTTCGAACAGGCATCAGCATGCTGTGATATTATTCATTTTAATTAATTAGTTAAATTCCTTTAATTATTAATAATGCCTCGGGTATGGTGCAGCAGCAAAGTACCACTACTCCTGTGGAAGGGAGGGGATCGAGGGTTCGATTTAACCACTGAGACACCAGTCCCTTTGAGACTTGCTTATTCGTTTCGATGGTAAATTGGCACTGGCGCAAATCA